ATCTGGCACTTGCGGCTGAGGTGGGGCAGTGCCCACTGCGATCTGGCACTTGCTGTAGCTTGCTGGCGAGGAGGCGGCGGAGGAGGTGAGAAGAGCTCTGATAAGACCTAACAACCCTCACCTGGCGACGAAGCGAGGAAGTGAGGAAGGGAAGCTGGGAAGCAAGGAAGGAAGGAGGCCGCCGACGTTGGCCAGATGCGAGAAGGAAGCAGTCCGGCCAATCGAAGAAACAGGCCATCCCTGGCCACCCTTGCTTGCTTGCTTGCTTGGTTGCCTTGCCTTGCCTTGCTTTGCTTTGCTTTGCTTTGCTTTGCCTTGCTTGCTTGGTTGCTGGCTGCTGGTTGCTGGTTGCTGGTTGCTGGTTGCTGGTGCTGCTGCTGCTGGTGGTGGTGCTGCTGCTGGTTGGTACTGCTGCTTTGCTTCTGGTGCTTTGCCTGCTATTGTTTTTGCTTTGCTGCTGCTTGCTGCTAGCCCCTGCTCAGAATCTTGAAACCTCTACCTTTCGCCCACCTCCAACACCTCTAGAACAGGGGAGCCTGCGCACCCAGGCAAGACGAAGCTCCTCCAAGTTTCGCTTGGCTTTGAGCTTGCCAACAGCAAAGTCTGGCAGACAATGGAAGCTTGGCTCCCCCACGTTTTGGCGTTGCAATTGGGGCCAACGCGTTGGTTGAGTAATTTACACATGTGAGCGGCGGCCAGCGACCAAAAAAACACACCTAACGGACCAAATGCACACATAGTTATAGTTCGAGGCCTGTTCGGGGTCCATATTAGTTCTTGAGGTCAACCTTCAAGCAGAAAACCGGATCAACCTCAAATCTCAAATCCTCGCATATGACAAGGATTGTGCACGGACTAAACTTAGGAAGGTGGCCCGTGTTCATTACCGACCCATCGCCCCACAGTCCCTTCAAGCCTTTACAAACGAATCCGTACTCCTTGCAGGTGTAGCTATTCATCAGAACAAGGCCTCGTTGGGTAGATGCATTGCCGCTGGAGCCCCCTTGTACGTTTCTTATGAGGTCAATGATGGTTTTGTCATCGTTGCCGGTGTTGACGAGAAGAGGTTTGAGCAAACTGTAGCTAGGTGAGGATTAACTTGTCGGCGTTTGTCTCTGGCTTTTTTGTTGTTGCAAGTCTTGACCCCCAAGACTTTGCCACTTGCTTGAGTGGGTTTGGCGTGACTTGGGAGTCGGGCTTTGAGGCGGCAGCGTGCGAAGTTGGCCAAAAGCTTTTGGCATATTGTCCCCGCTCCCACGGCGGCACTGGTCTCCTCGGGCTTGGAAAGGTCAGGGGGAACTTGAAGATGCTTGGCGTTGGAACTTGGTGGGATGTTCGCTTTTTTGTGGGGTAGCTTTATGTGACATGACCTGGGTCGCTTGTTCTGATACTACTGCCGGCCCAGGGAGATCATGAGTGGCCAGACGTTTGTGGGCGATGCAGATGCCTCCAAAGTTCGGGAAGCCATGGCTGCAGTGTCGAACGACCCTCCTGCAACGCTCACCAACGCCAAGGAGTTGCATAACAAGAGCTACAAGGTTCACAAACAGTTTGTGGAGTCTGAAGCCGGGAAGTATTCCGTCCTTGACCGGCTTAAGCTTTATGATTCTCTTGTGGCATGGCAGAAGTTCGTCAAAGCTTTGCCAGTGCAGTGGCAGGCGGGCCTCTCAAGTTGCTGGTGTATTTTTCATTCTGGTCATGTGATGGCAGCTCCTCAAACCCTAGAGACTGACAGCAGCCAAGCTGCAGCATTTGCAGGAATCCTTTTGGCACGCCTACATTGCAGTGGAGTGGACTGCGACAGTGCCTTGCTCGCGTCTGTGGAGTTCTGTCCTTTTGGTGTTCAGCTTGTAATGGTAGCTTTTCTGGGGTCGCCTCCAAAGCCAGGTCCCATTCGACAAGGGTGTCAAGGACCTGCCGGGTGTCAATTTCAAGTTGCCAATGATGAGGGCAGCAGGCGTTCGATATGCCACGGAGAGTGAGATGGACAGCTTGCGGAAAGCTTTGACTAGGCCCCTGTCACCGCCGCCTGACCGTCTGGACTTGGAGGCTTTGCTGCGGAAGTTGGGCCTTCAGAAGTATGCGCCGATTTTTGCAGCAGAGGAGATCGACACTGTTAGCTGTCTTAGGTTGCTGACCGAAGACGACTTTGTTCAGATGCAAATCCCTCGCGGGCCGCGTCGCAAATTACAAGACGCTTTGCACCGAGCGTGACAAGTGAAGCCTGCAGCCAAAAGTTGGTGACTAACAACTGCTTGTGCGAGGGGCATGATATTGGCCATTGGGCCAAAAGGATTGGGTGTTGATGCAAGAGTGAAAACTAAGTGAGTGTTTGCAACAAGCAAGGGCTGATTGCCATGGTGTTTTCCCAGTTTCACCCTTCGCTGGCATTTGCTAAGAGGTGCAAGTGACCTCCCGCAACTTGTGCTGTTCAAGCATTGGGTTGCGCAGGCTGCGTGGCTTCGTTGACACGGCTGTCAGCGTGCTTCAAGAACCCGGCTGAGGAAGACAAGGCTTTCCACTGCGCGGCGCTTGTGGAAACGGGATCTAAATGCTTTGGAGGGTGGTGTTGGGTTGGAGAATGCAATGCCGCAAATTGACGGTGATGGTGACTGACGGGCAATTGTTTACACCATGTCGTTTACCTAATTGTTCCACAAGCCTGACGTAGAAAAAATAGTGTTGACAGGACTAAGCCAACGGACATTAAACATTGAGTGCCTGAGCAGGTATATCGGAACTTTGTGTTGACCCTAGAACCTGTTTGACAAGATGCAATTGAAAACGTCGGGACAAACATGTTTCGAAAATATTGATGATGTATTGTAGTTCTAGCTATTTGTCTATTTATCTATCTGTCTATCCATTTATCTATTTGTCTGTCTGTCTGTCTGTTTACCTACCTACCTATCTATCTTTCTGTCTATCTATCTATCTATCTATCTATCTATAAACATCAACGGCAAATTCGCGTTCATTTTCCTGCTTTTACACCAGTTTTTGTCAGCTTTTGTGTACGTCAAATGTTGCAGGCTTCAAAACTCTTAGAACTCAACGCCTTGCGTGCTTGCCTTGCAGGCGGGTGTTGAAAAAACATCTCAGACGATCCTCCCAAATTGTGTTTGTAAATGTTTGTAAACTTTTCAGCTATGTCACCGAAACGAACGACTCGCTTGGATGCAGGCCTTCCAGACAACCCAGAATCTGCACCCACAATACCTTTGGTTCACACAGCGGACCCGTTGCTGAGAGCTTACGGCGAGGCAAGGGTTGCCGTCCAAAAACCTTTAAATCCGTGAAAGGGGAACGGCTAGATAGCTTTCATGTGAGCATATGAACTCAGAGAAATTGCTTGATCAACAATATTTTGTTCATGTGGTCAATTTTTGATGCGCTTTAGCCTGAGGCTACCACTGCAATTCTGGGGGCGCGCCTTGCTGCTTGCGAATGGGCCGCTTGTTCATTGAAGCTCAACTTGTTTGATTGTTTTTATCCGCCACGTTTCACCTGGTTCAACTCAGGAAATTTCATCGCTGGCAGATGGAACTCAACCTATCCTTTTGGCAGGCTGCATGCACTTGTGGCCTTTGGTGGTTTGTTTCGATGATGCTTGGCAGGTGTGTTGGGGGAGGCAGCTGCTCTCCAGATTAAGATGCTCAACTTTGAAGATGCTTATGGGAAACTTTCATTGTGTCGCTTGGATGTTTTCGGCGTTTATCCAGGGAATCGCCGGCCATTTTGCCAGCTAAGGTCTTCGGTTGAAGCCTTCTGATGTGGCAACAAGGCTGAAACTGGATTGTGCATTGGCCCTTGCCTGTCGGCGCGAACTTTGCTGTCCAGGGCTCAGTGTGGGTGCAGCTCGAGTGTGGCATGTGAGTGAGTTTGAAAATGTTGCTCTTGGCCATGCAACATATAGTCGAGGGCATCGCATCAATGATGCAACCAAGGCCTTTCTGAGGGCATCTCATGGGACGACCTTGCTGATGAGTCTTGGACGAAACGCAGACGTTGGTTCGGCCGCCGCTGCGTCAGGGTTTATTGTGTGAACTGTTTTGATGGGCGTGCTTGGTAAGCGCCATCAAAACATCATTTAGAGCACAGGTGGAGGTTTTGTCGTGGATCGTGTGCATATGTCCATGAAAAGGGTTTGCGCACACCACGCAAGTGAGGCAGGTAAACTATTGAAAGAGCGATTGGAACATTATGGCTACACAGCTGCGAACCTGCCTCAGGCACACAGGGTGCAGTTTGCTGTTCTTGGGAAGAGGACGTAGTGATTTTTATATAGATTGCAGTTCGCTTGTCAAGTCGCAAGGCTGCTGGTGTCCCTTCTGTGCTCCACCTGGTCTCAAACAGAGCTGATGCACTGGAAGCAACGCTAAAGGCCAGGCTAGCGCACCTTGGGTGGAGCTTGACATTTCTCACCCAAGCCCTTGCTTGTTTGAAAGGAGAAGGCCGACATGCCCTTGAAAGAGCTGATCCGGCTCTTCCTCTTACGACGTGTTTTGCCTTTGGAGCAGAGCATTGAGTTGCTGGGTGCCGTGGTGATCTCAACCCTGCTCCGTCTACGAGCTCTTTGTTGCCTTGAAAGCGACTTTCATCTAGTCAATCCGGAAGACGCTGTCAAAGTCATCGAAGAATTGGAGGGAAAGACAGGTGAAAAACGAGGTTTCAAGATCTTCTCGGCAGTGGCCTGGTGGCCAGTGGAAGATTTGCTGATTGCAACGGATTATGGAGACACACAGCATGCTGCAGGCGAATTTGAACCAGTAATGCGTCCAGACAAGATACAGTAGAGTGCATTGCTCTTGCTTTTCGTGACGGCGCTGTGTGACACCAAAATTAGTAGATGGGGCCAACCTTCCCAATAGATTCAATAGATCGATTTTGCCTCAGCCAAGCGGTCGCTTAGCTGACTGAGGTATTTGTCCTTGGACTCGTACGCTCTCATTTCTGCTTGTCCACGTGATGCCGTGGAAAACGTTCTGGATATGTGCTGCGGGAGTGGCGTCCAGGGCCTTGTGGCATTGCGCCACTATGCCAGACAGGCTGTGTCGCAGTTTTGGATGTGACTTGTGAAAGCACTCCTGGTTAACACCCCAAATTCAAATCCTGGAGAGGAGCTCTCGACCCCAGGCTACAAGGATCAAGGGTTCAATTCAGACTGAAATTCAGACTCTTGTACTTTTGGGCAATTTGTCGCAAGACAAGATACCTTTAGGCACCTACTTGCCCTCAGAACACGGCAGGCAACGTTTCTGGACGTGAACCCACGCGCTCTAGCGTTCAGCCGCTTCAATGCTGCTCTCAATGGCCTTCATGAGCGATGCAGCTTTGTGGAAGGAAGCGTCCATGAGGATTTCTTGCGTCACATGGGGGCGAAGAAGTTTGAGGCACAGTGACAACACGGCATATGTTCAAGCTAATGCATGTGCAAGACTAAACGGTACTTTTTGTGTCGATGCCCATTTGCCATTGGATCGTTGTTACTGGATGACCTTCATTTCAATCTTTGTATGCTGCCTTCCCCAGCAAGTTTTCTGGAAGAATTCTTGTCACGTGGGTCCACGTGAAGTACTTTTTGTGAAGCGGATGGACAAAGCACCACGGCATCAGGTTATCCTAGCAAACCCTCCTTTCGTGCCGAACCCGGATGGAACAGCTTCTGCTGCAGGCACGCTGACGATCCAAAGTGCCCGGAGTGCAAAAGAGTTGATAGATAACAATTTGATATTGCACTAGTCACTAGTTCAGTGGTCTTGATATTATCTGAACCTATTTCATTGCCCTTGAAGCAGAACATGAGCCACTTGCCAGGGCCACTCTACTCTGGAGGGGGTCATGATGGTGAGGAGGTGCACAAGATATCGCTGCAGAAGGCCCCTTGGCCGTTGAAGGGCGAAGGGGGAACCCTTGCGAATGGTAGTTGGCCATCACCAGAAGAGCCGTGGTTGCGGTCAATCTTTAATGTGAGCCCAATTCAGAAAATGAAGGAAAGGCTCTGAACACATCAAGCAGATGTGGAAGAATAGGGCGTGCCGAGGTAACGTGTGGGTTGGAGAAGTACAAGGTTCCCACCATCACTGCCTCTTCTTGGACGTTGCTTGATGCCTAGAGCCGTTGAAAAAGAAATGCCTGCTGCTGCTGCTTCTGCTGCTGTACTACCACTACTACTACCGCTAAGCTGCTAAGAGGCCAAACTTGCCAAACTCCCTGGAATGGTTTTGGGGGATCATACTTTAAGTCTCCCTCAATCGTTTGCGGGGGGGCATTTTACAAATCACACAAAATATATATATATATATGTACATTACAAAAAGGGACATGCATCTGCAACAGCCAGGTGAGCGAATTCTGCAATTTCATAGCACTTTTGGGACTTCCGACAATACTGAGGGCTTGACGCTGCTGGCAGCTGGAGGGCGGTTTTGCAGCGTGGCAGAGGTGCCAAACCCAGAGACACCTGGCAGACCCGACCGACAGTGGTTGAACTGGCATCAGGCGATTGGGCAAAGGCTGAGGTGAAACCAAGACTGAACAAGGTCTCTTAGGAGTCTGCGGTGCAACCGACCCGTCTACCCACCAAACTTCGATGCCTAAACAATGCCTTTCATGTGGAGGGTAGCGCTTTTGCTCATGCTGTCCTCATGATCAGCCAAAGCGGATTTTGTTAAGTCGTTCAACGCTTCGTCCCACATGGCCCCCGGAAGATTTCCTACAGTACCCTGTCTCTACAAGCAGTGAAGAGTCCGGGATTTTTAGCATGGGTTTGACACTGTAGCTGACCCAGGATCGCTGCAGCCTTCAGTGCTGTAGGCATCTCCTTCCTTGTCCTTTTCATTCTCCTTCCCAGAGCGTGTGGTGACTTTGGTGAGCTGATTCTGCAGCACAGCCAAGGAGCTTCCCAGAGCGTGTGAAGGAATGGGTCTACCAGGCGCTGTTGTTCGCTTCGTGGCTGCCCAGTGACGTGGCTGTTCATGTCAGGCTGGGCAACCGACAGGGTCCATTCAGATTTTCACCGGCAAGACCATAGCCGCGGAAGAGTATTGGAAAGCAGCCACTCAGGACTCCGGTTCCCACTTTCGAGACCATTTGCTTGCCTGACGCGCCTTTGGTTTGAGGTTGTTGTTGACCAGGTGAATATTCAGCTTGCAGATGTGTTATGTGATCGGCTGCCACAGTTTCAGTTAACTGTTGAGGAGCGGTCAGCACTGGAATGGAATCGCTATTTGAGTGGTTTGCGGCGCCTGGGGGTGAGCAGAGTTGCAGAGGCTCTGGTCTTCCTACTCCAGGCTGGACTCAAGCTCAACCAGAAGGAAGGTAATGGCCAGAAGAAGCCCCGTTGAGCCTCACCCAACATGGGCTGACATATCTATCTATCGATCGATCGATCTATCTATCTTACCTTACCTTACCTTATCTTATTTTATTTTATCCTATCTTATCTTATCTTATTTAATCTAATCTAATCTAATCTATCTATCTATCTATCAGGTATGCAGTATGCATTTATATACTTGCAACTTATAACTTATAACTTATAACCATATACATACGTGTTCCATCATGACCCCAATATTTCCAACTATATCATATGTTGTTTTTGGGGATGAACACTGACATTGACCCGCTGTTCAGGATGGCTCTCCGCTCAGCGTGGATGTCATCACTCGCTCCGCACTCTGGCAAGACAGTGAGTATTTGCAAACCCACGTCGCTCACTGCATGGCCTCGTGAGATGGTCCCGCGAATGTCCTCGCTGATGCGAATTGAGAGCTCAGACCACCTCAGAGTATTTGAGAGATCGTGAGATTCGTGAGTTCGATGACCTGGGCCTGGACAAGATTTGGCACATCTTCCCCACGAAGCCTGCCACGAGCCCTTCCCGGCCTCGTTTGCGGTTGTGAGGTGCCATTGATGGACATGGCGGAACAAACTGCAGAAAGATGGCACGCAGCGTTTGGCTGTGCTTTCTGGGGGTCAATGGTCATGATGCTGTCGAATCCTTTCAGATTAGGTCTCGGGCTGCCATAATGGACCAGAAGTTGGGAGGGATGGTTGGAGCCTCGGTTTCTACCGGTTTGTGGGTGTCAGTTCGGTGTCACTGGTGCAGTTCAGGCTTCATTGCAGCCAAGGTCGCCATTGGTAAGGAAGTTTGAGGACCCAGGTCTTGTCGCAGCTTCCTGCTTCCTGAAGTGGCTCAAGAAGCTCAGAAACTCCAAGTGGACCTGTTACGGCTAGTAAGATGCCACGACAGCCAGCATTTGCTACTGTAGCCGGAGTTGCTCTTGCCTGCCTCACCTGGCGCCCTGCTAGCTTTGTCTCAATTTTCCTTGGCATTTCTGGTTCAAGCCAGTCAATGACCAAAATAACTTCAAGTCCTGGCAAAAATCCGCCATACAACACGGAATGCCGTTCCATGTTGCACTGCACATGGGGCACTTGATGTAGCGGCATGCCATGAGGATCAGAGCATTCCCCTAGGCCCTAGGGCCCTAGGCAGATGTGTCAGACAAGTAGACTTTTTGCTCCCCAAACAAGCTGATCAGAACGTCGGTATTAACTCCTGACTGTTTGGCCTCTATGCCTTCAGGTCCTTCAGATTCCGTCGTATCGTACTGGATGCCGGGAGGGGGTCTGTCAAGTGTCAAGAGGCTGCAGAGGCGACCCAAACGCATTAGGATTGTGGAGTCCTGATTTTTTTGTTTGCTGGCGCTATATATTCCAAATACATCCAAATACAATCAGCTACAGATCCAGATACACCTTGGACAGTGGCGGGCATTGGAGCCAGCGCAACAGATCCAGACATGTCACATATGTCCAAGACCATTCTGGTGGCTGGTTTCGATTGGTTTGTGCAATGGTGGTGCGCCGCCGCCCAGCCAGTGATTTGCGGCACTTAGCCCAGGATCAAGCATGTACAATGTACAGAATTGATGTTCCTTTTCAGCTTGCGCAGACAAAGCCTTCCAATAGGTCTCTTGACGACACGGCGCCATATGATGACGACCTGCTGGACTCGCCAAACTATAGTATCAGAGGCGGGCACAAGGAGGTCTTCGCAGACGATTTTCTCAATCAGGAGAGGCTGGCAGCATTGGACTGGCCAACTTGGACAACTTCTAGCAACTCTTTCTCCCCCCTCTCCCTCTACTACTGCCTTTGGGCATTGAAAGAGGCGACATTTAAACATGAAGCTGTTGCACACATCGCGTGCGTCACATTGAAGGACGAAGATGCTGCAACTCCACTAGCCTCCTTGCCAGCACCCTTGATACAAGTACCAGGTCTGTGATCTGTTTCGAGGGTTTGGTTTTCCTTCCTCGGTCCATTTTTTAAAATTTTCCGGTGACTCCTGCCCTGGCACCGCTAGCTGAGGGACAAACGGCAAGGCTGCTGCTGCAAATCTTCTCGGAGGGCTCAGACATTTTCCATCAAAGCCTCGAGGTGTGGCCGCACTGGCAGTGGAAACATGTGGAAACGCCGTGCCGGCGCAGGATCCCAAGCTCGACCTTTGCCACGAGATCTCCAGGGAGGAAATGAGAGAAGCTCTTGAAAGACTGCAACTTGGATGGTATTACATGTTATTACGGTGTGTGAAGCCTGTGCAAGTTCAAGGGTATTCCATACTAGCCTCCCTCGTTTTGGGTGGTCATGGTGCTTGTGGTGGTGTTTTGACAAGAGGCAATTGAGGATGTGTCATGCAGCGATGGCCCATGATGGCCCCAAGGTTGTGCCCGAGCCAAGCTCGTGAAGCCGCAGCGATCTTGGCCACTCAGCTGAGAGCATTTACAACTTTCACCGCCGAAGGTTTTCAAGGAGTCTGAGCATTCATGCCTTGCTGTTTTTACTATTCAACCGGAGGCCAGCTTCCCTGAAGATATGCCAAGCCTGACGATCTTTGAAATCTGCGCGCGAGTGGGCCGCACGCCCGAGTTTTCAGGTTTAAAGGTCCAATTCTACATTTCAAGTGTATAACCAACTGGAAACCATCAAACGCAGTCAAGCTTCACTAGTCTTTCGCCGATCAGTTTCGGCCCAAGGACGTGGTGATCTCATGCGAGAACTGCACACTGCTGCTCAAGCAAAGCTGCGAGACCTGATCTTCACCGGGAAGGCGACCATGCAGCAGGCCAGGTCTGTCACCAGCGCTGCAGGGCTTGTACTGCTTTCCTCCTCCAATATACTGCTTGGTGGTTGCTGACTTATGGGGCTCTCATGAATCAGCTTGCAGTTTTCAATCCAGCACGCATCATGCACTCAGACCACCCTGCCATCAAGCAGCGCACGGGCTCCTGGAAGGTTTGCAGGTTGTTGCGGGCGGGGGCTGAGCCCACTCGCCAGAACCTTAGCTGCTTCGTGAATCTTCAGGCGGGTTGAGACCAGCGGGCTTTCGCGAGAGTCTTGCAAGAGATCCTTCCCAGCTTTTCTTGACCCTGGAGGGTGAGACAAAACGGACCAAGATTGCGGTGAGCCCAGTCAAGTGCACTTCCGAATTCATTTCCGAGAATCCGAAGTTGTTCAAACCTGCTTAGGAAGTGGGCCCTAAGCCTGGCCTCGGCCTTGGCCGTGGGGCGTGGCTGTCTGGCACGCCTCTGCATTGGGCTCGGGGCTTGGAGGATGTTCAATTTGTGAAGATTTTACTGATTTTACCACCAGGTTTGTTGGGCAGCTTCACGAGTCCCTGCTCATCGACAGCGACACTACATCGAAATTGCCAGGTGAAGCTGAACCGATGGCGGAAATGGTGTAGGAATGAAGACGCCAAATGGCCTTCTAACGCCGTTCCTCACATAGAACCAGCTCAAGAGACAGAAACATATTTCTGACAAAGGTTGCAATATGACGAGGCCTAGGACTTGCAGCCATAGAAATTGAATGAGCTTTGTGCTGCCCGTGCGTGGCTTCGTCTAGTTTCAGAAAGCGTTAGGTGGCTTTGTGATGTTGCACCTCTGGCGCTCTTGCTGAAGAATGACAACCATCAAACGCCTTTGGAGATGCTGCTAGGGCACAATGAACTGCCAGGCAGATCGGTAGCGAGCTTGGGGGCAGATGGGCATCAGTCTCCATCAAGACACGGCTTATTTCGTGAGAGCGTCCCGAAGGACGAACATGTGAGAACTCTGACCCCAGAGCAAGAGAAACCAAGCTGGAAAGGATTGGAACGCAGTATACATAAATAAATATATATTGTTAATCTAGCACTGTAGACTGAACATGGAAACCCTGTCCACCTAAACCGAAAGGTGACCGCACCTCTTTCACGCTGATCGATACGTCCGCCCTCCCGCCCTTTCAGCGGTCCGAACCACGGCGTGTGAGCGAGACAACTCGAGGTTGGTTCCGGGAAACTTGTGAGTTTCACACACCTCTTATTTTCTTCTTTTGTCCTACCTCACTCCCTTTTTGGGATAGAAGACTGTCTCGCCCACCCACGGAAAAGGTGTTCGCTTGTGTGCTAGAGTCCCAACCCAATAACTTCGTTCACCTGCACATCCCCGTTGATGGGTGTCTCTATAGACCTCCAAACCCCTAAGGTCAATAGGGCAATCAACAACCCCTACAGGTGTGAAAAGTTGATACCTAGGGACTACATGCACACGGATCACTTCTCCGTTCTTGCCTCTTCTCCAAAAATCCGATGCATGGCCTTCTGTTCCGGACTGTCCTACCAACATGGCTTCTTCTTCTTTCGAGGGTTCATTTTCTGAACGGTGCTGTTTCACCCATTTCAGTCGTTCTCGAGCGGTGAGTCTGTTCTTTAGAGTATAACTCCCATCCTGTAAGACATAGCGACCGGTCCTCAAACACTCACGTAGAACACTGCTATCCATAGTCTTGGTCAAACAGTCTGCTAGCATTGCTTGAGAACTCACCCATCTGACAACTGCATTGTCGCGAATTCTTTCGCGAATCAAGAGACATTCTATTGTCGTCCTGTGCTCCGAGCATTGTGGCAATGCGGTTCTCGTCAACAAATCATAGGCAGATTTGCAGTCTGTAACCAATGCACCACGGTTCTCTTCCAACAACAGTTTCTCAGGGTTCTTCCAGTCACAATCCGGTCTTAACAAAGTCGCCCAAAGAACACGGATCCACAGTAAACGATCAGCCGAATTGCTAAGTGCTGCCGCCTCTGCTCCTAAAGTGCTTCTGACAACACGGGGCATCTTCTTACTATACCAGGCTACAGGGGCCACAACTGCCTTCTGATTATCTAGGAGCTCTGGTGTTGTAGTAAAGATAATTGTCCCTTGGTGTGCTGTCGTGTGTTTGACACAGGAGAAAGAGGCATCTGAGAAAGCACAGTAGGTCACCTTGTCCGGGTGGATAGGTAGAACCATCAATGACACTCTGTTCTGCTTGGCTTCTGCCAGAATCTTGTTTCCAAGAATCAGATTCTTGACTCGGGCTTGAGTGACATCGCTCTGTAACTCTCCCACTTTTGCAGCCATGTCCGGCCGACTGTGGACAGCTGCGTACTGTAAAGCACCGATAAGGCTTCTGAAGGCTGTTCTTTCGGTTTCTGTCACAAGGGATTCCGGGTCATCTCTTCTTCCCTTTCCAAGAGGAATTGGACTGATCTTCTCAACATATGCTATCTGGTCATATTCGATCGACCCATCGTCCCACTGCTTGAACCGGATTCCGGTGTAAGTGAACTCACCTTCTTCGAAAGCCCCAAATTTAAATCGGGCTTCAACGCGACGCAACATCTCCATGAACTTCTGACTGCCACCTCCTATCCCATCATCAACATGGATTCCAACACAACCCTCAAACTTTCCACCAACATGATAAGTGAAAACACACGGATCGAGAGGTGACTGTCGGCAGCCTTGTTTCAACAGTTCGTCCCGGAACTCACAAAACCAAAGAAAAGGGGCATCTATCCTACCATATGCTCCCCCATCCAATCGAACCTGGTCAGTCTCTGTC